GAACAGTTTGAAAGGTTCTCTGCAACTCCTCAGGATCATTGAAACGCCGTGGTTATATACTTTAGCTTACTCGCCGCTAAAAGTACATTTTGTGCACTTTGCTCCTGCCTGGTTCGAAGTTGTGTTCTTAACCCATTCGTGACAATGTCAGCCACCGGTGGCTGACATTGTCACGAATGGGTTAGGGTTGTTACCAAAACTTTCCCCAGGCGGGACTAGAACCCGCACCTCTCGCCCGGAAAGCGAGAGGTGCGGGTTCTAGTCCCGCCTGGGGCGAAAGTTTTGTTCACAACCCAGCATTCTTGTGAAACAATCGTTTATATAATATGCATCCTCATCACACGTCTGAAAAAACGAAATTTCCCAAAACTCTGGTTTGAGTGGGGGGGGGGGGTGAGGGGAGGGACTTTGGCGTACGTATGCTAATTCCAATACGCGTAATCCTTTAACCTGCTGGGCTCAGTGCTTGGACCGTATGCAGCAGTCGCGGCCAGGGATGGGATCCCAAAATTCTGCATTTCTGGACGCATCTCGCCACCCTTGACCGGGATCGTTGCTATCGTTCACTTCAAAGAACGGCCTCCTCCCTCGATGCTATTCTCCCTCAAACTGTCATATGCAGGGTCAACCCTGCGTTGCGCAATGAACAACGAGGGGTCGTATTCCGCTAAACGAGGGGTGGGGGTCGTATACAGAATAACCAGCGTGGAGCAGTTTATGGGGAAGTGAAAGAGGAGTGCATAAAACAGTACAATGCAACTCAATCAGGATACTAACACCTTCTTCAGGAAAACAGAGGACTTTCAAATGCGAGTGCGACTTCTGCCCACAGACAGGTGCACGGCGTATACCCGAGCAGGCGTTTTCCCATAAAAACGCCTTCTCTGTCAGCGGCCGTAAGCAGACAAACTTTCTGAAGAGAATTTTGATGCTTTCAAATCAAATCTAAGCGGAACAAAGTGTAGCGAACTTGCTGAATTGAACGCTAAAGAACCCCTAGGAAATCACTGTTCTCCAGCTAATATCGAATTTCGTGACAGACAAACTAAGCCGATCACATGTAGTACGGTAAGATATTGTATACAGGGGGGGGGGGCAAAAAAAGAGTCACTTTGCCCATGGCGCATATCATCAAACTTTTCGTCGCAAAGGATGCCGCTGTTATTGGGAGTTATACGGCGAATATTCCTTAGATGTCCCCCCATAAGCAGAATCAGGCCCACCTTCGCTGCCTTCACCGTCTCCAGAATATGACGTCATCTGTCATCACCGTCGAGCTCAAGGAGGCCTACCATAATCGCTCCATTCTGAAGCTGCTACATAATTTCTTCAATCGGATAACTGGTGAATGGCTTCTTAGGGACACTAGCTCTGACTATGCAAGATGGCTTTTGACCAGCGTTTCAGAGACGTCGTAATCGTCTATGGTTTCTCGACGACCTCGTTGAGCTCGTACCGCGAACCATGTTTCCGTGGGAAAATCTTCTGATGTCGTCGGTGTAGAAAGCCCCTATGTAATTTTTTGATAGAATAGAATGTGCTCTTCAATATGCAATTGAGCTCATTCGGTTTGGTTTTGGCAAAGTGTAATTAATTCTGTTTTGAATGTGAATGAGAGTGACTCTTTTTTGTCCCCCCTTGTAGATATTTTTTCACATCTACTGAGACGAATTCAAGGTAATTTACCAGTATAGTCCAGTTCAGGTATTGAGTGTGATCTCTGTCAGATAATGAAATCGATCTATTGCCACCAGTGACTGTATTCAGCTCTGTTCGTATTTTACGCAAGACCTGAAAATTTTAAAACAGAAGAGGATTGCAGTGGTTTTAGGTTTCTATACAGCTAACCCAGATTTACACGTGCACAAATGTAATATAGATGGAAGTAAGTAAACCAGCCCGTTTGGCGCTTGTGCTGAATGTTGGGGAGGGATGGGGTCCCGACGGTCGACGGACTACTTCAACTCGGTCCTTAAAACCGCCTCAATTTGATGCTTACCTCAGGACTAAGCCTTAAAGAGAGGACGGACCTGCGAGAGAGCGCAGGTCCGTCCTCTCTCCAAGGCTTAGTCCTGGGGTAAGCAAACCAGCCCTTTTGGCGGAGCTGCTGGACCTAGCTGCACCACTTCGTCATCACTCTCCTACCGTACCGACCGAGTTCAAGTAGTCCGTCGACCTCGGGGACCCCATCTCCCTCCCCAACATTCAGCATACGGCCCCAGCAGAAACGCTAAAAGGGCTGGTTTGCCTTACCTCATTTAGGGGCAGAATTCCTATTGGTGGTGTGAGTACTGTAGTCCTACCAAAACAAGAACGCGCTCTGATACCACAAGGTGTCACAGTCCTTAGCGATCTCTTAGAGGCTGAATGTTCAGCATGGTTGTGGGTTACGCTACCACCGCCACGGTGGCGCGCAAAATATGAAGGTAGTCGCCGCGCGCGCGTCGTAGTGATCCTTCTTCGCTGCGGCCTACGGTACAAGTACCGTGCACGCAAGCCCACATAGTACCAGGCTCTATCGGCCGATTTCAAAGATTTTACGACTTGTACGACCAACCGGTTCCGATGCACCCCTTCCCCTTCCACTCCTCACCACCACTGCTGCTTCTGGGGGGAAGGGGGTAGTATGTCCCAGCATGTGCTCGTTTTGAGAAATTTTTGCCAAATTTATCAAAATCCCCCAAAAACGACCCCTCTATCTTTCGCACCAGCGATCTCTTCAACTTTAAAATATACCCCCTCCCCTTCAAAACATACAATAATGAATGAAATTGGGGTTCAGGAGGCGAAACTAAAGGAATCACACCGTAATACCCCACAAGAAAATATGCAATGCTCACCTCAGGATTCTTGATGAGATGCATTAACCCCCACATTATTGTGATTGTTGTCGTCTCCTGACCAGCAATCCAAAGATCAAGAATATCATAGAGCAGCTCCTCTTCTCTGAAACAGTCAGCTAACCTTCATGCGCCTTTTTGATAAAATGAAATTTCGGGATAGGGCGGATTAGTTTGTACTAACGAGAGCCAATCCCAATGAGAAGATAAAGAGACT